GTCGCAGTGAAAGTTACAGGGAAGGCAGTCATTATGAAAAGATAACTTATTGGCTTCATATTTGAACAGTAATTTCCCACATAGAACTTCACTGATGCCGGCAGGTAGCTGCAGGGATCAGTGTCCTTGTCCCCGAACCCGCAGCCTGCGGAGGCAAGGGCTTGCCCGGGGCACACACTTCGCAGTTTCTAGTGCAGGCCGCTCCGAGCCCCAGTCCCGGAAGGACGGCCACTCCAAGGACAAACCCGGGCCTGGGAGGAGCTTGGGGAGGTGTTTCTGCTCAGGTCCCGGGTGAAAGGAATTAAAAAGGACTGTGGTTTGCCCGGCCGGCGTGGCTCCGTGGTTGAGCATCGACTTATGAACCAGGAGGTCACAGTTCGATTCCCGGTCAGGTACATGCCCGGGTTGCAGACCAGTGTGGGGGCAGGAGGCAGCTGATCAATGATGCTCTCTCATCATTGATATTTCTCTCTCTCTCTCCCTCTCCCTTCCTCTCTGAAATCATCAAAAATATATTTTTTAAAAAAGGACTATGGTTTGCCCAATAAGCAGGGCCCATTGAAGATGTCCCTCCCCCCCCCCCCCCCCCCCCCCCCGTTCCGCTCCGAGCCCCAGTCCCGGCAGGACAGCCACTCCAAGGACAAACCCGGGCCTGGGAGGAGCTTGGGGAGGTGTTTCTGCTCAGGTCCCGGGTGAAAGGAATTAAAAAGAACTGTGGTTTGCCCGGCCGGCGTGGCTCCGTGGTTGAGCATCGACTTATGAACCAGGAGGTCACAGTTCGATTCCCGGTCAGGTACATGCCCGGGTTGCAGACTGGGTTCCCAGTGTGGGGCGTGCAGGAGGCAGCTGATCAATGATGCCCTCTCATCATTGATATTTCTCTCTCTCTCTCCCTCTTCCTTCCTCTCTGAAATCAATAAAAATATATTTTTTAAAAAAGGACTATGGTTTGCCCGATAAGCAGGGCCCATTGCAGATGACCCCCCCTCCCCCCACCCTGTGCTTTTTAGCAAGTGTGCACTGGGCTGGAGAGGTGAGCCACCTGGCCTTCAGAGCATTCAGGGGAGACAGACACAGGTGCAGACAGTGGCAATTGGTGGCTGGCTGCTCCAGCCAGAGGCTGTGGCCTGGCCCTGAGGGCAGCAGGGAGGCTGACCCCAGGAGATTAAAAATCACAATCTTTTATTTGCCAGCGTCAGGCTGTTATTTTAGAGCTGAGGCCATGTTCTGGGTGACAGCGGCATCAGGAACGCTGGGTGCTCTGCCAGCCTCTCTGCCCCGCAGTGTGAGTAGAGTGACCCCTGGTGTCAGTGACCGGAATCTTTCATTGCTTAGCGAGCACTGGCCGCCCCTCCTTGTGACTGCCTGCCTGCGTGTGGGCAGAAAGGCTATTTCACCTTTGACCCTCACTCCGGCAGCAAACGAGGGCTTTAAGACATCGTGTGAAAACTAAAACACAGGCGAAAGTGGTGAACATACAACTGACGTAAAAGGCCAGCTGACAGGCCAGTCACCTGACACAAAAAGGTCGGCCCGGTTCCATCAGTTAGATTACAAACAGGCCCAACCTCGAGATTGCACTTTATTCTGGCTATTTCTCAGATGTTGAAACTCCCTCAGCACTTTTCCTCGTTGGTCAGCATTCGGAACAACCCGAATGTCCCCTGGGGGCAGCGGTCCTTACCTCAGGGGCTATCAGGCAGCCGCAAAACACCGAGTTGCAGGAGAACTTGTGAGAAAACGATCCTTCAAAAACATCACAGGAGAAGCACAGACCGAAACCGATGCTCTTAGAAACAGAGCCTCCTGGCTCCGGGGAGACTGAATGCGTCTGCACGGAAAAAGCCCGCAGGGCACCGTCTAGCACACGAACAGCGTGTGTCTGGGTTTCACCGAGTTCCTTGTTTTCCTCCTTTTGCTTATCTTTCAAAGTAAAAGTAAAGCGAAAACCATGCAAAGTTACAGGCGAATGCTTCCGTGAGTGGGGAAAGCAGGAAGGGTTGGCCAGTCGGAGCGGAGAGGTGCGGGAAGGGGGAGAGCCTGGATCCAGTTCAGAGCCCCGAGCTCGGTCCTGTCCTCCCACTGTGTGCGCTGTGTGACCTTGGACAAGTCACTCTCCCTCTCTGAGAATTGATTTCATCACTTGTGCAATGAAAGGGGTGTAGCGTGGTCTTTTTGGGTGCCCTCCATGGGAGGAGAGGTGCCCGCAGCAGGTAGCAGGGCACAAGGCTCTGAGGCAGGAGGGAGAGGGGCTGTGGGAGGAGCAGAGATGGGGTGGGGGCAGCGGACCAAGCCGGGAGGGGCTGGGCTTCTCCTTCAGCGCAGCGGGAAGCATGGGAGGTTGGAAACAGGAGAGCAGCCTGCCCCGTTTGCAGTTCAGTGGGATTGCTGGGAGGTGAGCGTGTGGAAGGGCGGGGCTGGGGCTGAGGTGTGTGTGTGTGTGTGTGTGTGTGGCGGGGGGAGGGGAGTTGCCCAGCAAGCAGCAGGCGATGAGCACCCTCCCCCAGGAGTTACGTGCCAGCCAGGCAGAAGGGACAGCAGACACAGGTGTGCAGAGGGAGGCCAGCCTGGGCCCGGTGGGGAGGCGGCTGGGGGAGAGGCCACTGTGAGTGGGAGCCGGGGCCAGGGCCAGGGTGAGGAGTGTCCGTCATCCCGTGACCCCATGGTGGCCTCCAGGGCCTGTCTCAGCGCTGGAGCCTGAGGGAGCCGGGCGGGCAGCTCTGGGCAGGAGGCTCAGCTAGGGGTTGATGCAGGGTCTGCGGGGAGAGGGCAGCACCTGGGGGACAGGTGGGGGGGTGGGGGGGCAGTGCCTGTTCACTTCCGTTCCCCTCATCTGGAACGGCCCCTGGCACATCGTAGGGACTTGGTAAATGTTTGCCCATAGATGCACTAGGGAGTCTAAACACCTGCCTGTCTGCAGGCTCTGCCTCCGCATCCGGCTATCACACATGCGTTAAGCACCTACTGTGTGCTCGGCTAAGGGGAGGGTGCAGACCGGATGGAGCCAAGTTCCCCTCCAGAAGTACCTCAGGTCTGGTGTGGGCAGAGGGGCAGCAGACAGCACCGTTAGGACGGGTTAGCAGTAGCCCGGGGCAGGGCGCATGGGTGGTGGTCAGAGCTGAGTCTTCTGCGGCCCCACGCCTCCCCTGCAGCCGCGAGAAGGCGCTGTGTTATAGTGCCCTGCAGGGGGCGCCTCGCTGCACACCCCTCGGCCCCCACCCCCGCTTGGGGAGAGGCTGAGGGCAGGGGCGCCGCCCAAGGGCATTGGCTGTAGCATCTGGACTTGCTGGCATTTGAGGGACAGGACTGCCCAGAGCCCCTGGTGGGACACAGTGGGGATAGGAGGGAGAGGGGACCGGAGCCCAGAGGCATCCTGGCTGGCAGACAAGCCCCTAGTTGTCTGTGGAACGGAGCCTGGGTGCTAACAGGAGGCAGTTAGGGCTGTAGGGCCAGGAGCTGGGACAGGCTGCACAGGACACGGCTGCACAGGACACGGCTGCATGGGACAGGGCTGCACCAAACATGGCTGTACAGGACACGCCTACATGGGACATGGCTGATGGGACAGGGCTGCACAGGACAGGGCTGCACAGGACGGGGCTGCACAGGACGGGG